TTTACAGGATTGATCTGTAGCTCAAGTCCTTGCGCATATTGCACGGGTTTTCCGGTTGAATGATTTGTGGCCGAGTTATGGCCCTTTGATAAAAAGGTGTTTTTTCTGTGTGTTGCCAGATATGCAAAAGCTTGTCCGGACTACTCATAAACTACTGGTGCAATTTTATCCAAACTTTACAGGAATGATCAGTATCAAGTCTAGTTGTGCACTGTCCGTCTGTCTGTCCGTCTGTCACAAACTTTGTCCCAACATGAAATTGGCCATCATGAGGCGACACATGTGATTACTGATCGCTATTGTTTCTGTATTATATGATGGTGGGCCTAATAAGGCTTACATTCCCAGTAGATAGTACAACCTGGATATTTTCAGGGCTATCATTTCATGATGTTGGGGGCTGAATTCAGCCCCATTCCTTTCCATAATTAATTTATACATGTAAAAAAAAAAAATTCTCCTAGAATAACCACTCTTGTTAACTGTTAAGCATAACAGTTTCATCAGCGTTATCTAATTACTGCAGTTTTACACTAATCATTTTATGAGCTTGGTATGATAGTGAAATATTCCTAATAATTTCCAGTGTTGTCATGATTCATTTCCTAATGCTAATTGACTTTAATGTCATACATGCATCAGAAACAAATGCTGCAAAAATTACTCTGGACATCTGTCATCATAAAGCTTTTAAAAAGCTGAGTTACAACCATTATTTTTGCCCTGAAAGAGTGGCATATAGTTTTCAAATTGTCTGTCTGTCTGTCTGTCTGTCTGTCTGTCTATACTACTGAAATGAAATAGGGGACCATCTATATGTAACTATAACAGAACACAACAAAACAATAGAGTTCATTCCTTAACAAATGAGGAAAGGGCCAATGGCCCTCTTTTAAACAAAAGAAAATAACATTAGGCCTCTTATGCCTTCAACCTAGGTAAATTATAGGCCCCGACAGATTATGACAGGCCCAAAACATGTATGTGCAAAATGAAGACAACAAGGTTCAATTAAACAAAACCACAGAAAATCAGAATCAAAATTCTCTTTTTCCGTGCTTTTCATACTAGATCTTACTTGTCAATTTACTGCTTTCTACTGCTTTTTAGCTCACCTGTCACAAAGTGACAGGGTGAGCTTTTGTGATCTTTTCGTCCGTTGTCCGTCGTCCGTCGGTACACTTTTACTTTAAATGACATCTCCTCATAAACCACTAAGCCAATTTCATCCAAACTTCACAGGAATGTTCCTTTGGTGGTCACCTTTGAAAATTGTTCAAAGAATTTAATTCCATGCAGAACTCTGGTTGCCATGGCAACCAAAAGAAAAAACTTTAAATATCTTCTTCTAAAAAACCCAAAGAGCTAGAGCTTAGATATTTGGCATGAAACATCTTCTAGTGAGTGTCTACCAAGTTCAAGTAAAAGCCCTGGGGTCAAAATTGGCCCGGCCCCAGGGGGTCATTGATTTTCCCTATATGCATATAGTAAAAACTTAAAAAATCTTCTTTTAAAGAACCCAAAGAGCTAGAGCTAAGAAATTTAGCATGAAACATGTTCTAATGGATGTCTACAAAGTTTGTGCAAATAAAAGCCCTTGGGTCAAAATTGGCCCCGCCCCAGGGGGTCATTGATTTTCCCTATATGCATATAGTAAAAACTTAAAAATCTTCTTTTAAAGAACGCAAAGAGCTAGAGCTAAGATATTTAGCATGAAACATGTTTAGATATTAAGCACAAAGCATCTTCTAGTGAGTGTCTACAAAGTTTGTTCAAATAAAAGCCCTGGGGTCAAAATTGGCCCTGCCCCAGGGGACATTGATTTTCCTTATATGTGTATAGCAAAAACTTAAAAATCTTCTTTGAAAAAACCCAAATAGCTAGAGTTTAGATATTAAGCATGAAACATCTTCTAGTAAGTGTCTACAAAGTTTGTTCAAATAAAAGCCCTGGGGTCAAAATAGGCCCCACCCCGGGGTTCATTGATTTTCCTTATATGTTTATAGCAAAAACTTAAAAAATCTTCTTCGAAAAATCAGAATAGCTAGAGTTCAGATATTAAGCATGAAACATTTTCTAGTAAGTGTCTACAAAGATTGTTCAAATAAAAGCCCTTGGGTCCAACCTGGCCCTGCCCCAGGTGTGTCATTGTTTTTAACTATATGTGTAAAGAAAAAACTTCACCAGCTGGACCTTAGATGTTTAGCATGAAACATCTTCTAATGGGTGTCTACCAAGTTTGTTTAAATAAAAGCCCTGGGGTTTAAACTGGCCCCACTACGGGGGCCTATATACAGGTGAGCGACTTCAGGGCCATCATGGCCCTCTTGTATATTTCTGTTAACATTCAAAGAAAGCATCCTTGAACAAAACCCAGCCACACAGTTTAACTTTCAGTTTAAGTTTCACTTGTGTCAGACATGTAACATATGCTGTTCATAAATTGATATAAACAAGTCAATCTAAAAAAAATAGTATTCCAATGAAAATTTACGATAACTTACTTTACTAATCCAACAAACATTAAGGTGATTCCGCTTTGTCAGCCATGTTTGTTTTCACAAAGTCTGTCCAAAGTGAAAGTAGGCCAAAATTCATATAACAACAAAGCTCACATTGTTATATGATGAGCCATTTGCAAGTACACTTCCAGTTCTATGTTTTAAAGACTATTTCAATTAAAAATAAAAATGATAACAATAAGAATATTTACCTTGAATGTGCAACATTTCTGAAGACCAAAAACATTTTGTTGCAAAGTTTTATGCACATTTCATGAATGGCAAAATCCTTTTTAAAGTCTGTTTTAGTGCTTACAAAAGCTATTTTTGCCATAAATTACAAAAAACTTAAAAAAACATAAATCTTAGGAAAGTAGTTTATCTGACCTTGAAAAAACATGGCCACCATGAGATGATGACATGTGTAAAAAAGTAGTACCATGAAAATAAACATCATTTACCTATTACTTGTGTACATGACAAACAGACACACTTCACTGTTACACATAAAAAAGGTTAGATTTTAAAGTTTGATTGTGATTTCATTTTAATTGTAATTCATAAGGCTATAAATGATGATTGTTTTCTTGCACTACTTTTTTACAAAAAATAATGGAGGCCATGTGCTTAGAAGGACATAAGATACCGATTTATTTGGAGTTAAGTTTTGAAAGATTTTTGTATTTGCTGCAAAAAATAGCTTTTGTAGGCACTAAAACAGACTTTAAAAAGGATTTTGCCATTCATGAAATGTGCATAAAACTTTGCAACAAAATGTTTTTGGTCTTCAGAAATGTGGCACATTCAAGGTAAATATTCTTATTGTTATCATTTTTATTTTTGTTTATAATTGTCCTTATAACATAAACCTGGAAGTGTACTTTTAAATGGTTCATCATTTTACAATAAGAGCTTTGTTGTTATATGAATTTTGGCCTACTTTCACTTTGGACAGACTTTGTGAAAACAAACATGGCTGACAAAGCGGAATCACCTTAACTAGATTACCTGAGTAATATTTGTATATTAACACTAACCAATCAATGAAGACAATAAATATAGATTATGCATAATTGGATGACTTAATAAGCAAATCTTACCAAATGCACATAAAATGAAGATGCATTACACAACAATTCCGGATTAATTGAAACTGAAACTAGCTTTTTTTTAAAAGAAACCAGTCATTCTGATTTTAAATGCCCATCGGGCTAATGCTCTATTGTATTTAGCATGTTCAAATTGAATTTTACATGCCTTGGGCATCGAGTGTGTGGCGTATTTTGCAGACTGTACTAGGAACAGCTTCGTTAGCATTCATCTGTTTACAATGGCTGTCTTTTTCTCTTTTTTACAGACTGAAACATATAAGTTTATTTTTCATATACTCCTGTAAAAAAAAACAAAACGGAGCTTTTTAGATTTTATTCATTGATTAATTGGCATTATCATATTTTGATTACTAATATTAATTTATATTAGGTTGTTGGCGAAACAACACCATCAACTTCTACTAGTAAAACCTACCAACAAGTAAATTTTATATGGATACATGCTGTCCTTGTCCTGCCTGTTCCTCTGTCTGCATGTTCAAAATTTTAATTTTGGTCAATATGACTGTGTGCATTCAGTAAGTGCCAGCCTTTATACAACTTTTCAATAAGACCTTTTTGATATTTAAAAAGAAATGACCTTGATTCTTAACTGACCTTGACCCTGAAGAAATGGTAACTTTGTTTTCAAGAAAATAGTTTGCATATTGTTAAGTTTCATACATGGGATAAATTGAAGTTGGCTTTATTATAATTAAAAGTTCACATAATGTGTCTTGATTTTCTTTCTATAACTGGACAGGATGTTATTATCAGTTATTTCTATAAAGCTAAATAAACAATTACACATTAAACGATCAATTACACTACTTGGTCCATAAATAGATACAAATATCTTGTCTGTGGTCTTGACAGGGTTAAATTGATGCAAAAATGTTGACATTTACTCAGTGTTCATTAGTGACAGTAATTATTGGCCTATTGCAGTAAAGGACATGTCCAGTCTGTACTATAATACTGTCCAGCCAGCCTCTATATCTCTGGTATCTATCCATGGAGTGTTAATATTTTGATAATAAGTCCCCTTAAACCATTAAGTAACAATTCTTATTTAAAAAAGTGGATGTCCTTAAAAGAACTGTTATGGGTTTAAAGGTTTTACGGGGACACTTGGTTCTGCAGGACCATATTTGTGGGGGAGTATTTCCTGAAGCTCTAGACTAGACTCGGGAGAGACACTGAGACACGAGATAGACACGTGTTGGTAAAAAATCAATATGTTATATTAACAGTGAGCGCGGGATGTTGGATAGTTATTGATGCAGTTACTGCTATCATTTTATATTTGTTTTCTCCAGATGGAGGATAGCCTATATTTATTTTAAACATGTGTTAGAGTGAATACATTTAATACAACAGTTTGATTTTTGTCTCTTTCCTCGGACAGATTGGTAAAATGGAGATGTCACATATTGATAAAAAAAAGAAAAGAAAGACTATTCACTGTTATTGGCTTTCGGCACAGTGAAACATACATTATGGATTGGAAACATCAGCTGATATGGTAAGTGGTGGTGTTGGGACACTTTACCATAGGAAAGGTCAATTTGACTTTCTGTTTTATTATTTTCTAAAACTGATTACAATTATGGTTGGGGTTATAATGAGCATGCCATGAAATGGTAATAAATGATTTACAAATTCATTTTTGATAATACAGATGAAAGTTGTTGTTTTTAACATTGCATGGAAAATGAGTGAATTATTTTTTTCTTTAACAAATTGCTATGATATACAACCTATTTATAGGGTATTCATATTTGTTTGTGTTAGAAACACAAATTTACATTCTGATGACAAATTTGAATGTCCTGCTACTTGTTTAAGATGTCTGTATCCCATCCATTTTCAAGGTAAAAGAAGAATCAAGAGAAAATAAAAATGGGCATAAACAATGGTTGTATCAATATTACAGTTTCAGTTTATATGAAGAATACAAAATAAATTATAAAAGAAATAACAGTGTTGCTCAGGGCTGCAAGCCGGTAAAGTTCATTTCAAAAAAGAAAAAATGCAAGTAACTTAACCTTACGCTGGCAAACTTCATGAAATATTTTGAAAAAAAATATGTTGGAAGAAAAAAGCCATGTTCCTTTTATCTTTTGCTAGAATAAATAAAAATTAAATTTCTTGTACTTGCAAAACTTTGCAAGTGTGAAAAAAGGAAGTAAAATCTAGACTTGCCACTAAATATGTTGAATAAACTGCTTCCAAATAGATTTGTTTAAAATGTAAAAATACGATAAATAAAATTTGGTATTAAATCCCAATTTTAGATGAAAATACCATATACTTAAATACACATAATTATATTAACCAATTTTTGCACAACTGCTTCAATTTAGAATTTTTGTTCAGTAATTCGGGGGAAAAGATACCCATTTGCATTTGAGAATATGACAACAAATTTAATGTAAAATTGTTCCCAACCATCTATGGCAAGTAACAAGTCTAGAATATTTTCATACTTTGAACACCCTGAGAAAAAAAGCCTGCATGTTTAAATAGTGTTAACTGACTATAATTGTAGTATTAATTTGGAAATTCGTGTGATTTGTACGAATTTCAATATTAGAACAATCGAAAGTTCAACCCTTAGCAGCAACTTATTCTACCCATGTGACCAGTGCTGTCACTAAGAACAGTTGGAATATCCATACATTAATGATGTATTGTATTGTTTATTCTTATATTCAGCTGGCCACTATATGTGCCAAATCACCTGTATGCTTATCCTGTAGTTTTAAATGTTGGTATATTGAATTGTCATTTGTAACCTACATCCTGCACCACTTAGAATTTGGCTTTTGGATTTACAATCCCTTAATTGTGAGATGGACATTTGACCCAAAAATAAAACCTCAATACTGAGCAATCATTGGAGGGATAGCTGGGTAAAAAATTTAAGACATTGCTCTTTCTGTGCAACCACAGCACTACTCACAGGGTTTGGGGAAGCAGCAGGATTTCAATTGGCTGTTGCATAAAGAAGATAATATTTATGTCAGTGGGTTAGAAGGTATATGTCAGTCTCACAGGAACATAAATGGTATTAATAAATGGAAAAGGCTAATTATATGATGATTGCCTATAGTAACCTGATAACCTTTGGATAGGTTCATTATATCTCAGATGATCTGTAAAATGGTCACATTTAGATCTCAGAAGGTCAATAGCAGTCCCAAGTTTTAAACCCAAATAACAGAGATACTGTGGAACTTGGCAAATATTGGTTTTGATCTTTAACAGTTACAACTTGGAAAAATACAGCAACTGGTTATTTACTCTGTTGAAAATGGTAGCACACTGTAAAGCTAAGTTACATCTTTTCAGGTTTTTGAAATGATTTTAAGGGTGGAATGATTAAGATGTATCTTAAGAGTTTGTGATCTTGGACAGTAGATGAATCCTTTTGATTTTGAGGTCCACAAGTCAGAGGTCAAGGTCACAATGACTTGGTGGAAATTCCTTGTCCACTCAATAATTCGAGAAGGCAGAAGCCTTGGTTTGTGAAACTGAATGGAGACATTGCCTATTGCCCATGGCCTATAAATTGATTTTTTAGATCAGTAGGTCAATGGTCACAGTGACAGTTTGCAGAAAATTCTTCTCAGCTCATTAAAGGAATAAGATTCGTGATACTTTAAGGGCCATTGCCCCTAGCCAATAGCTGACATCTATTGATTTGAAGGTTAGAAGGTGAAAGGTTAAAGTCACAGTGACACTTGCTGTAAAAAATTTTGTTTGTACAATAACTTGAGATAAGTTTATTTTTGTGAAACTTGATAGGGATATTGGATATAGCAATTTCAAAATTCTTGTCCAATCAGTAACTTGTTCTAGTTGTTCTTCTATTTTTCAGTTGATTCCAATCACATTTTAACACTGTACATATTCCAATTTACTTTGGGCATATAATACCAGGACATCAGAAGCCCATGTTTATTAATGATTTTTTATCTTTTAACAATTCCATGTTTTAAAGCTCGTAATGGAATAATATTATAGTTTTTGATTGATAACAAAGTTAGTTTACTTGAAAAAGTGATGTTTCTGGTAATGTATGTACATGTATGATAATGTATGAATAGGTGATCTGCATCCATAATAGGTTTAAGTACAGAAAAGTTATACCATGGTTATTTAATGTTAACTTGAACAAATAATATATATTCAACAAAAAATAACATCTTGTCACAAATAGTTAAAGTGAAAAATATGTCACAGCCTTTATCATCCCTATCCCCAATATACTAATACTCTAAATTTCAGCAGTATGCCGTAACATTGTAAAAAGACTACTCAACTGATTTACAATAATGCTATCTTTTCGGAAGTTGTTTTGGTCAGTCATCCCCTGACCCAACTATACAAAACTCTACTGTTGAGATGGTCCAGTGCTCTTGACTCAAGAGGGAGGTCTGGTGCCTCGGCGACAAATAGATGAATTAAAATCGTAGCGTTTTTATATAATTTAAGATGTATATTAATAGTAATTTTAGTGGTTTGTAACTAACAGTATAATGATGTTGTCTTCCGAAAATGGAAATGGTCATTATTTAGTTGAAGCTTGGTCAGACAATCTCCAAAGTGTTTTACTTTCAGTTTCAATTCATTCCACTACGATGGAGTGTTTTCTTATGATCATTGCAAGTCTAACCTTTAACCTGCTAAATTTTTAAATGGACTTGTCCAGTTTCCATTTTTGGAACCGCCCATTATCAATTTTGGAGATTTGAAGCTGGTCAGGCAAGAGTACAGGTCTGGTAGCTCTATGCAGGTGGCAAGGCTAATTACTTTAGATTCTGGCAGGTTAAGGGTTACTAGTAGATGTAATACATTATTCAGGATAAATGAATCTTGTTTCAGAACTAGTTCTCATGAAAGAAGTGTCCGTACAGATGTGTTATACAGCCTTCAATTGTGACACTGGTGCTATTCTATGAAGAGCAGCATTTTGTCCCTGGAAAAAAATGGTGGGCAAATAATAGGTAAATGTTTTTAGCGTTTTTGAAAAAAAATAATAAAGGTATTGTTACAGTCATTGTGGCGTTGCCATTGCAGTCTTCAAACTTTAATTTTGATCAAACCTTTTTAAGTTCTTAGTGTATTTTCAACATTGTATTAAGAGACCACTCAAGGGACTGTCAAAAAGTGGTCTCTTAATAAAGTGGTCTCTCAATAGAATTATGGAAAATTCGAGCCTTTTTTATATTACAAGTCATAGATATAATAACATCTTTTTTGTGTCGCCTCTACGGAGTAGTGGCGACATAAAGGGATCACTTCTCCGTCGTCTGTCTGTCCGTCTGTCTGTCTGTCCGTCTGTCTGTCCGTCACAAAACTTGTCCGGACTACTCCTCATAAACTACTGGTGCAATTTCATCCAAACTTTACAGGAATGATCAGTACCAAGTCTAGTTGTGCATATTGTCAGGATTTTCCGGTTCAATGATTTTTGTCAGAGTTATGGCCCTTTAATAATTTTTAATTTTAAAGTTTGTCCGGACTACTTCTCTTATACCACTAATGCAATTTCAATGAAACTTTACAGGATTGATCTGTAGCTCAAGTCCTTGCGCATAATGCAGGGGTTTTCCGGTTGAATGATTTTTGTCAGAGTTATGGCCCTTTAATAATTTTTAATTTTAAAGTTTGTCCGGACTACTTCTCTTATACCACTAATGCAATTTCAATGAAACTTTACAGGATTGATCTGTAGCTCAAGTCCTTGCGCATAATGCAGGGGTTTTCCGGTTGAATGATTTTTGGCCGAGTTATGGCCCTTTGATAAAAAGGTTTCTTTTTCTGTGTGTTGCCAGATACACAAAAGCTTGTCCGGACTACTCCTCATAAACTACTGGTGCAATTTCATCCAAACTTTACACGAATGATCAGTACCAAGTCTAGTTGTGCATATTGTCAGCATTTTCCGGTTCAATGATTTTTGTTTGAGTTATGGCCCTTTAAAATTTTTTATTTTTAAAGTTTGTCCAGACTACTTCTCTTATACCACTTATGCAATTTCAATGAAACTTTACAGGATTGATCTGTAGCTCAAGTCCTTGGGCATATTGCACGGGTTTTCCGGTTGAATGATTTTTGGCCGAGTTATGGCCCTTTGATAAAAAGGTGTTTTTTTCTGTGTGTTGCCAGATACGCAAAAGCTTGTCCGGACTACTCCTCATAAACTACTGGTGCAATTTTATCCAAACTTTACAGGAATGATCAGTACAAAGTGGTTTGTCTAGTTGTGCACTGTCCGTCTGTCTGTCCGTCTGTCACAAAATTTGTCCCAACATGAAATTGGCCATCATGAGGCGACACATGTGATTACTGATCGCTCTTGTTATAATAACAAAAACTGTACAATATTATGTATGTATTGCAGTTTCATAATTACATTTATGCCTTTTTAAAAAAAAGTCATCAATATGTGTTTTTGTTTTTTAGTAGAAATTTGTGTACAAATGTGATCTTCGCTCATAATAGGCCTACTATCAACAGGTCATTTTGATCATGAAACAAAGCATATTATCTTATATTGTAAATATGTTCATACACATCTCCTGCTAAGCCTACGCCAGAGCTCCAGATAATTTGTCATGCAATTAGTTTTAAACTTCTTGATTTTTTCAACAATTAGTTTTTACACTACCGATTTCAAATTCAATAAGGTTTTTAGAGGTCTAGGATTATTTTTTTTTTATTTTTTTTTTTTGTCCAAGGGTCATATTTAATGGGTACTACATTCATACATACTGTATTTTATATTAGAAAGGCTCAGGTCAGTAATTTTTAGTCGACTATGTTTCACGATTTTTTTCCGATGACATTTGCTATTTACTCAGACTCAATTCCAAGCACGATTTCCTCGTCTTATTAGCTGTCTGTCATTTTTTTCGCTCGTTCCGACGTCATTTTCGATTTGATTTTCTAGAAGGGAGGTCTCTATGAGCACATGGCAAAACTGTGCAAATGCGGTGTTGTGATACGTAATTGCAGTCACAATAAATGTTACGATCGGAAAACTGTTTCTTTTTTTCCGATTTTGAAACAATTGCAATTGTTATTCAATTTGTTTTTAAACGACAATTATTTGTGACGGTCGTTTAATAGATGTTAAACACCTAATTTCGTATATTTTGGCCGACATTAAGTGGACGCTGGCCACGATATAAAAACGTCGTTTAATGGACTTAACTTATATAGTAAAAATCAGCGGGAGGGATTTTATACGGTCGCTTAATAAAAAAGTCGCTTAATAAAGGTGGACGCAAGTACGATGCCGACTGTATTGTCTTTATATATGGGCACAACAACCCTTGGGACGAGACCTTCAAGTACATCAGACTTAACTTGACCTTCAGTCATAAATTTCCTTGACGTTTAAGGATAAATGTCTAAATTTTGCTTGATCTATAACTTTGTGACTTGAATGGATTGTCTTCAAACACAATAATCTTTTAGGATAGGCTGTTTTAGGATAGGCCTTCAAGTTAACCAGACAGAGCTTGACCTTCACTCGTAAAAGGCCTTGACCTTGTAGGACAATGTATTAAATTTTTTTAAAATTTTTTGCTGTAACTGGCTATAACTTTATTATTAATAATAGATTGACTTCATATTATAACAGAGCATTCTTTAGGATAAGACCTTCATGTATATCAAACTCAAATTGACCTTGACTCATGTATGACATTGACCTTGAATGTAAAATTATTGAATTTTCACTGATCATTGCTATAATTGGCTGTAACTTGGTACTAAATCAATGTGTTATATTCATACTTGGACAAAACAATCTTTTGGAAAAGATCTTCCTAAAGGTTGGACTGGCCTTGACTTTGAGCTTTAAATGACCTTGACCGTCAATGTTAAATTATTAAAATTTGGTTAAATTATCATAATTTTGTTATTTATGTACTGATTAAATTTATACGTAAACAACACTTGTGATCAAATGAACATGTTGAATAATTTAGATATGACTTTGACCTCTAAATGTCCTTGACTGTCAAATGATTGAATTCTGCTTACATTTTCTTCCCCTGTCGGGCTGGTGGCTCTTATTGAATATGCGATATACAATATAATCAACAGCAAACAAAATTTACCAAATTGATTACAAAGATAATTTAGCAAGATTATGTTGAAATATGTGTAGTAAGGATGATGGCATTTTGTAGTGGGAAACAAATGTTACATTTTATGATGGATTTGGTATTAACTTGCAGATTATAGTTTTGTTTAATCCCACCATTGGCCAGAGATCAATCTTTTAGCTTGAACTATACTGTATGGCAGATCTGTCTATTTCTGTCAAATGAGTCTGTACTGTAAGTATATTTGGTGACCAATTAATATTAATAGCAAATCTTGCGTTTCTTTTGATTATGAATATTTATAATATACATGGACATACAGTGATTTGTTTTTGGAGTTTTGGAAAGTGTCTGAGTTCTGTCTAATTAGGAATAATTGTGCAGTGTCAAATAGACAGCCAGAAATTTTTGAATTTAAGCCTTTTATTGGAAGAAAAAAATGCTAGAAGTATGACAAAATTATGCATAAGATCAATCAAGTAAACAAAATAGAGAAAATAGAGATATTTATCATTGCAATGCATTTAGGTATGACTAGACTCCAGGCTATTGAAGGTCTTATTTTAGTAATTTTCCACTGTAGTCCTAAAAAATACAAAAACTATACATTTTCAGATATTGGACAAGTCTTTTGCACAAAGTCAATGATGTGACAGTTAAATGTCACTTCCATTTGAACTCTGTTGAGATTTAAGAAAAGGTTAATGACTCTACTGCCATATGGTTGGTAAACATGTTATATTAGCTGAAAGCCCCTTTGGTCACTGTTTTAAAAACTGTGACAAAAAACAGCTGGTACATAATGGCAAAACAATTTTTTCTCGGCCATGTCACATCTTGGGTTTTTTCTGTCGTGAGAATTTTTCAAGGAAGTCTGTAATCTTCATTAATATGGGGTTTTTACTTGTGATGCTTCTGAGCCTGTAACATTGCAAAAGAACATCAGGCCTGGACAATACAAAGCCGAGATAATGTAGATAGACAGACAAATCTTGAAATAGAAATATTTCTTTTCATACAAGTCATGAAAGCAAATTTGAAAGGTCTCTAGAAAATTGTTCATCATTCTTTCATTAATTTAGTATTTTTCTGAAATGATTTCTATAAATGGTTGAAACATGTTCCTTTTGTAATGTGTCTTGATATTTTCTCTCAGGCTATAAATTGGAAGAAAAGATAAATGAAAATTATGGTTGTTATTTGTTGTTGATGTCTGTTAACATTGTAGTTAAAGAATAATTTTAAACACAAAAATGAGAGCTTTTAACTATAAAAAGATTTCCTGGTATTGCCTATGATAGGCCTCAAGATGAATATTAAAGTTTTCCAAGTAGCGAACCTCAAAAGAACTATAATGTTAAGAGTCATCTTTAAAATGGTTAAATATTCACAATCTATGAGATTTTTTTCCTGTTTTATATTAATATAATTTATGTTAGCTTGACTAGTCCAAGAATAGGGAGAGATATTGTTTTTATCCCGATGTCGTCGTTGTCGTCGCACTTTGGTCAGGTTACTGTGTACAAGTTGGAGGGAATGAGTTGAATCTTCACACGTTTGTTTTCTGTGGTTAACTAACATGATTGGCACTCTTAATAACCTATTTAACAAGAGTTATGCCCCTTTCCTTCTGTCAAGCACTGAGAATAGTTGAACTTGTGGTCTTACAGACTGCTTTTGTTTTACTTGCATTATTCTACCAGGTGTCTAATGGAAAAATGGCTAAGCATATTTAAAACATTGTATGATATATTATTTTTAGTTCCTTAGACTATCACAAATCCCTTTTATATGTTCACTTGATTAATAATCTTTTCTTAGTTTTAATACAAATTTAAATTAATATTAATTTAAGGTATGTTGCATGAAAGACTGTATATCAAAAG